TTTACATTTCATATAACATTGAAATATTTCTCTTCGCTACAATCAGTATATACTTTAGTTGAATATTTTTTAAATCTAAATCTTTAGAGCTTTTTATTGTCTGTTGAATGGTCTGATATGAGTATACACAAGTTTTTTTCCTGCATGGTTTGAATAATAATCTTTGCAAGTTCAGTAAATGGATTCCTCAGAAATTTTTTTTCTTTTTATCAATTTTTCAATATCAAACCGAACCTGTATTATTTAACAATACATACCATCACTGTTCATTTCTTTAAACAGAAAATATGTTTTGCTATTATTTTACAGACACTTGCCTTTGTTTTTGGTGACATGATGAACTCAGTTGTAGCTGCTGGGAAAGTGTTTGAGTACATGGACCGAAAACCTCTGGTCAACACAGATGGAAAACTAAAACCTGATCAGCTGAAAGGAAAGATCAGTTATTGCAATCTCAGTTTTGCCTATCCTTCAAACCTAGGCAAATCTGTGTTACAGGTGAAAAAAAGTACAATTTAGGCTAAATATGTACAGAAATAAAATGTCAGAAGAAGTAGCTATTTTAACAGAATATAGAGATTCAAATCCTACCCCTATCCTTTAAAACCGAAAGCATCTGTGTGTTGTTTACAGGACTTTAACTTGGAGTTGAAGCCAGGTCAGGTGACGGCTCTGGTTGGTCCATCTGGAGAAGGAAAAAGCACCTGTGTGAGTCTCCTGCAGAGATTATATGAGCCTCAGGAAGGAGAGATCCTTTTGGATGGAGAACCACTGAAATCCTACGACCATCATTTCTTCCACAGGAAGGTAATTTTTATCATTAATATTTGTTGGATTCTGCTACTCATGGCAAGTGCAAAGGCTTCTGGTTTAAAAATTGAAAAAGCGTTCAACTAGAACTAAATACATTTCCTGTAGAGCAGATGTTAACATCTTATCCATACAGTCTGATGAGGCTCTGTGTGACAGATTGCAGTGGTGAGCCAGGAGCCCGTCCTCTTCTCTGGATCCATCAGAGATAACATCACCTACGGACTGACTGACTGCTCACAGGAGAGGATTGAGGAAGCAGCACGGAAAGCCAACGCCCATGACTTCATTAAAACACTGGAGAAAGGCTACGACACAGGTAAACCAGTCCGACCACATCTCTGTTCCTTTTACATGACTGAATGAAAAAACAAAGCAAATGCTTTTATATTTGAGAGAAGTTAGATTGTAAAAGTACAATTTTCTTATAAATTTAACCTTCTAATATATACATTGTTTTGGATGGTTAATTATTTGTGTGCTTTGCTTGGTGTTTGACATTAAACAGGTGACTCTGAATTTGAACTTTAGATTGTTAATTTTTACAGAGGTAGGAGAGAGTGGAGGCCAGTTATCCAAGAGTGAGAGGCAGAGGATTGGGATCGCTCGAGCTCTGGTCAGAGATCCGAAGGTCGTCATTCTGGACGAAATAACCAGCTCCTTGGATGCTGAGAGTGAAAACAAGGTTTGTAATAATGTGTAGAAATTGTATTACGTCAGGGGGACATGTAGGTGTTTAAAACAGATTTTGCCAATCATGGTTGTTTTTTTGTTTTTTTTCCAAAATATTTTACCATCTTAAATCATGTTTTGCAATTACATTTTTAGGTGTTTGAGATGTTGAGACTTAAGAACAACTAAACAGTAATTCAACAAGCTATTGCAACAAGAATGACCTTTGTTTCACTTAAATGGTTAAATATTATACTAACACTTAACCAATTATGGACTCTTGTTCAATGCATCTCTATTTAAATAAATTTTAAAATAAGGGTACTGAGGACAACAACTACAAAACAATTTTTTATTGCCCAATTAGAAAAAAAACTATATTTTTCCATCAGCTTTAAAGTCATTTATTACATGATTATTTGTTTGCTCAACAGTTTTTCAAATGTAACCTATTATGTAGCAAAATGATTATTCTGAGTTTCTTTTTGAACATTATGAACCTGTGAGATATCTTGTTTTTTCTTCTATTTATTTGTTTCTATAATAAAAATACACTTAATGCCGCTGAGATGCTGTGGATGAAAAACATAAAAACAATACAATACTAACATGTTTGTTTGTCATGAACTGTACAGGTTCTTCAGGCGCTTGCAAGCTGCCCGAACCAGACCCTGCTGGTGATCGCTCACAGGCTGAAGACCATCGAGAAGGCAGATCAGATTGTTGTGGTCAGAGGAGGTCAGGTTGAGGAGAAGGGGACTCACCAGGAGCTGATGGATCTGCAGGGGAGCTACCATAAACTGAGGAATGAGCTGTTTGAGGATGTTGACTCACTACAGTGAACTACTGAAAGCCATCTGTTCCCAAACTGTTGTTTAATTCCTACCATCTCAGGTATTTTGTACATAAGGAATTCAGACACTTTTTTTTATTTATTCTAAAGATTGTTGATTTAAGTGTGTCAGATTTGCCTTTCATTTTCAGATCACTGTTCTCGAAAATAATTGACCAAACGGGGTCAAAATTATTGATATAAACTTAAATTCTTAATCAAAAAAAGTCAAAGGTTGCTGTGAGGTTGGTACATTTAAAATAAAAGCTTAATCAAAAACTGAAATGCTGTATTTTGTTTAAAGTCTGTTCTTTATGTCATATTTGATGAAATAATTTCTAAAATCTATAAAGTCCTCTAATTATGACCAGGGAGTTACAGAGAAAATTAACTCCTGACAGCATTTTATTCATGTATTTAACAAATAAGAACAATAACAAAAATCTGGTTAAAAAATCCAAACAGTGTCAACTATACAAAAACATCCATGGGCGTAGGTTTGCATAGGGACCAAAGGACATGTCCCTACTAAAATTTTGGACCAACCTACCAATAATTGGATATGAACAACATGTTTATAATTAACAATCGCTTAGTTGTTGCAGTAGGCACATCTTGTCCTCTTGCAGCTCCTCTGCCTGGTAGCTGCAGCTGCCTGCTCTTTCATCTACCTTTCTCTGTGCAGCACACATGTGCTATGCTGTTTAACACTGATTTTTCTGCCTTAAGTTCCACCTTCTGTCTTTGTGATTGTTTTCCAGTATGTATGTGTGCGTGCATGCTTGGAGCACAAAATAAATTAAAAAAAATGACTCTAGAATACCGTGCTTACCAAAATATTTTTATACTAAGAATCTAGTCCCAATTAAAAAAAAAAGATATTATCTACTTGCTTTTTCAAATTTTTGACGACCCTTTGAGGCAGTTCAGTTATAAAAAGCAGGTTTCCTTTTTTTTATAGTGTATAACAACACAAGATGGATAGTGTATAATAGTGCTATTTAGTTGACTATTTCTACTTCTAAAAATAGGATAAAGACAATTACACAGAGGAACATTATTTATGCTGATTCTATTTTTCCACATTTCCACACAGTCTATAAGTAAATTAGTGCAAACATTAGTGTCTGGTAAAAATATTTGAATCCAGCTTTTTATTTTGGATACTACACCATTAGAGATAAGAAAGTGTTATATTTTCTTTTATATTTGCTAAAAGTAATTTTATATTGGAATAATCAGCATATTGAAATAAACTTCTTAGGCTCATTATTGGTGTTGTGCTTTGTAGATGATGCCACCAAAAAAGAAAATAGACATAAGGAGCTATTTTAGCAGTCAGACAGTAACATAGGATGATGATAAAAGGTTGTGTTACATTTAATCCTTTACTATTAAAAACACACTTGTATAATAGTGACATTATATGATTGTAGGAAACAGGGTAGCTTGAAGATGAAGCACCTGGCCCTTCAGTGATTCTCATGATGTCTGTGTGATTTTAACCCTGTAATGCCAAATGTATCATATTTGATACATACGGTTTCTGAAATGTTTTGCGTCTGACACCTTTTGCATAGTTTAATGGTAAAAACTTTGCTCAAAATCCTATTGTACACAATCAGGTATACCTGATAACAGAGGGCAGAAGACTACACAAAAAATAATCTTGACTTATTGCATAGTAATAAATTAATATCAAAAATGTATTTCTGTTTTTTCCAAATAAGGACTTCAAACCAAAAAAAGGTAATTATTTTTTTTTTCTTGGATTGGGCTTTAAAGGGTTAATTACAGATTAAGGAGCAGCTTTTTTTATTTATATGCAATATAAATATGAATTTGTATTTGATATAGCTGAATTTCGAAAAAAATCACACAATGAGTGGTGACGTTGCAGCACAGGTAGACAAAGAAGAGGCTTCAGGTGAGAGTTTTGTAATTAGAGTAATTAGATTCTGTGATCTCTGTTGGAACTCACAAATTATGCCACATGCCAGATGTATTATGAAAGAAATAATTTTGGAATGTTACCATTAAATTAGGGCCACATCTAACGCTTTTGCGAATCGATTAATCTGTCGATTATTTTTTTGATTAATCGATTAATAATCAGATTGCCAAAGGTTCCTTAAAGAAGGTTTTTTACAGTCTGAACCAGGTAGAAAAGAAATATATCCACTTGGGGAGTTCTGGATAGAGACTATTGACAGACAATAAAAATGTTTTTAATCTTAAATGCAAAATGTTTATATATTTTTTTACAATCTTGGTATAATTCGTGCTTTAAGTGGGTCGCTCTATCGGCAAAAGGCACATTTTAGAGGCCCCATACTACGGTTAACGATTAAGTATTTACCAAATCAGTTGACGATGATTTAAATAATCGATTTATATGATTGTTTCATCCCTAGATAAAATGCACAAAATAGGCTACACAGAGTAACTACAGCTCATATCTACAACTTGTACAGTGAAGTTAATATTGTAAATGCTCAGTGTCAGTTCCTCTTATAGTTCCAGTACACATGTAAATACAATACATTTATTTGCCGTCCCTTTAATGTATTATTTTGCATGATACAGAGAGAGCATAGAGATAAAAAAAGTAAGAGTGAGGTTTACTTTTGCACAATTCTACTGTATAACTTCAGAAGAAAACACAGGATAAATCCACAGATAACAGACATATTTAGACTGTATTTGGTTAAATAGGCACCTATTTACTTTCCTAGTTGCTAGTAAGTTCATATGCAAACCTTTTCAAAGTCCAAAAAAGTCCTAATTCCACATTTGTCAGAGACAGTGTTGATTCAAACATTGATATACAATATCTATTGAGTGTAGTGTTTATAAAATTTGTATTAATGTAGCAAGAATTGCTGCTGTTCTCTTTAAACGAAATGCACCCTGATGCTCACATTAAGCATAAAAAAGAGCATGAATTTTTTGCATAGGACCAATGACATCAGATAAATGAAAATGAAGACCAATAGTGTCCCTACCAAAGTTGAAATCAAACCTACGCCCTTGAAAACATCCATCTAGCTGTGCTTGTCTGAAATAGGAATTAAAGGACAGAAAGCAGCCCGGATGGAATCCTTACTGCCCCTGGAAATATAAGTCCACTTTGTGCTGCTATTTAGACTTAGAGGAGTCATTTATGATGTTACGGGCTCGGGACACGCTGAAGAGGAGCCGTTCTTGGCCGCTGCTTTGGAGAGCCGCCATCTATTTCTGTATCTGCCGTTGCAGACACAGTTCTGCTTCAGGTATGCAAGGATTGGAAAACTTTTAGAAACTGTGGAAATACCTCATCGTACAAAGAGAACGTTTTCTTTTATACATTAAATATGTCGATCATACTTTGATTTTATGGATTTTGTAATGGTCAGAATCTCATCCATTTACTCATAACTACAGTTAAGCCACTGGTTCTTTATATCCCTGGGAGATATATGTTAAAAGTATTTGATAAATCATTTTCCTCTTTTAGTGAAAGTAAATAAACAATTCATACAGTAGTAAGTCAGCTACAGTCACATCCTGATTGTAATTTTGGGAGGAGCTTTTCACCTATTAAAAATAAGATAATTAGCACCCCTCTAAAAATTATTGATTTGTCTCTGGAAGGCGGGGCAGCATCTGAGGTAGCCATAGAATCTGAACCGGTTTTAGACAGCTTTGATCCAGTTGAACTTTCAGAGTTAGCGAAACTATCGTCTTCATCTAAGCCTTCAACTTGTATGTTAGATCCAATTACAAACAGGTTATTTAAGGAGGTATTCCCTCTTATTTACTCCTCAATTTGAGATGTAATTGATAACATCCCCCTCATTTTGAACTTATCCTCTTCTATTTTGCAAAGCCAAATCGAAAAACAAATAACTTAGTCACTGTAAGCCCAAATTACATGTCTGATACATTATTTGAAAGCTACTGTAACACCTTCTAGTTCCTGACTATATAGATCAAAATTGGGTGAGCAGCCCAAGTCAGTTCAAACATGACTTTAAGTTTTTTTTTTATTCTTAAAATTTAATAGGTCTTTTTTGACAAATTGTCAAAAAAGTGTAAAATATAAATTTGACACTTTGTTACAAAATAGTAACAAAAAAGTGTCAAATTGTGCCAAATGCTTTTACTCAGCTATTTGACCCATAGAATAACACCAAAGTATTTTGATGGCCACAAAACATTTATGTAACAAGTATGTAGCCCGGATGTATAATTAACCCATGCATTTAAAAAAGTCTAAGTTAATATTAATAAATAGCTGATTTCACCTAACATAAATAGTTTAAAAAAGGTTAAATACATTTTTCTGGAGTTATTTAAAATGTTCATTTTGTAAATTTATTTACAATGTGTTTAAAATATCTGTTTACATGGTTTTATTTCATTTTAGAAAGGTTTCATGTGAGAAGTGTAATTTCCTACAGAGAGGAAGGTTTTTGAAGGTAACACAGGTGTTGAGAGAGCGCAGAGGGAAAAAGAAATCAGCGCCGGTTCGGCTGACTTTAAGTCCACATCTCAAGGGTGATGTTCAATTATTCATGGTTTTAGATGGTTATTGTCGCCGTGGATTGTCCCTACGATAACCCACAAGAAGTGACAGTTGGTTAAGTCCGCGGTAGAAGACAGCAGAGCTTCTACTCGAAGCTTGTGGGACTGTTTTTAGCCGTTAGCTTACCATTAGCAACTCGCTAATGGGATATAGGCTCCCGTCGTTCGCTTATTCAGCTGGATATAGGAGCTTGCAAAGGACCGGTACTCAACCAGACAAGAGAGTTTGGACCCAGATAGCACTCTGAGCCACCAGGAAGCGCTCAGAGGACCTCTGGCACCGTTGGAGACAAAGTTTGTGAACGTTTGTGGATTACGCACGTGGTTGGAGCTGTGACTGTGAGCGCCAGTATTTTTTTCTTTCCCGCTGGAGACGAGGACTGAACAGAGCAGAGCGTTTCTGTAGGATTTTTACATCACTTTCCACCAGGTATTCTTTTTTTTCCTCATCATAAG